TTTGATGCCATACATCTTAGATATATTTGGAAGCCATATTGTGAAGAGAATAAACGTGGAAACGGAAGGATTCAGCGTTAGCTAACCACAGTCATTCCGAATTGCCCAAATTCTCAGACATTCCTTCAGGCAAGCTGGAGGGAGACTGACAACAAGGACACCTCTGATATCGATTAGCAGCCATACCTTTCAGCGTCTACAACCAGGCGCTGTGAGGATCACGCCGTTAGTGTACTGGAAGGCAATTCGCAACGAAAGCACCCAGAATGTTAATAAACTCCTTTGTACCACCTTACTAGGTCGAAGGCTGATTATTGCTCTTCTTGGGCCTATTGAATAGGGCACAAAAACATCCGTCTCCTCGGCAAATAACGATTCGGGGTGCTCAACACAAGACCAAACCATCGTAGCTTTTGGTCCTGGATACATTTTTGGATTTCAGCCCGTACCGCACAGCAGAACACTGGCTCTCCAAATGTCTCGTTAAGGATTCACTGGCATCAGCTAACACGAGCTGTTGCCCAGAGAAAACAACTATCATAAACCTCCAGATAGCTTAGTTTGCTTGCAGAAATCACGTCTCATAGTCATGCGACTGTGGTCTAATGCACATGTCCCACGGTATTCCAGGGTAGGCCACTTCAGCACCATGTGTTTCAAATCAGCAAACGTAACCAGTCTTCCACCTTCGTACAAGGACCTCTCCTGCCACATTACAATCAGGAATTTCAAGACAAACGGAGTGCTGCACAACCTCGACTGCGTGATTTTAGTGCGACTAGCCTATTCAGTGACTGCACTTTGTGCAAAACGCATGCCAATCGACAGAGTGACTTTTGTCATTCGATCCCAAAACACCTGTTCCTTCTTTTCCACTTCGTCCAGCATACTCCAACTCAACAAGGTTGTCGTCAGCAGTCATTTGGACACCGCTTGGCACTCTGTCTGTTTTAAGATTTAGACTTTGCGTCAAAGAATGTGACCTCGGACGAGACCCCGACCTAGCTCATAGTACAAATATCTAGTCTGACTACTTGAAAACATGACAAGACTTGCCAAACTCTCGCACTTTTAAAAGAAATGTTGGCTCCATACGACCGATAAAGTCAGTTGAACGGGAAAATATAAGAAGTCCAGAAAACGTTCCCAAATGCTCCGTGTAAAATAACATCAAATATCATATCATATCATCATCATCGGCCGCACGATGTCAGTGTTCAACAGTGATGCTTTGATGCCATACATCTTAGATATATTTGGAAGCCATATTGTGAAGAGAATAAACGTGGAAACGGAAGGATTCAGCGTTAGCTAACCACAGTCATTCCGAATTGCCCAAATTCTCAGACATTCCTTCAGGCAAGCTGGAGGGAGACTGACAACAAGGACACCTCTGATATCGATTAGCAGCCATACCTTTCAGCGTCTACAACCAGGCGCTGTGAGGATCACGCCGTTAGTGTACTGGAAGGCAATTCGCAACGAAAGCACCCAGAATGTTAATAAACTCCTTTGTACCACCTTACTAGGTCGAAGGCTGATTATTGCTCTTCTTGGGCCTATTGAATAGGGCACAAAAACATCCGTCTCCTCGGCAAATAACGATTCGGGGTGCTCAACACAAGACCAAACCATCGTAGCTTTTGGTCCTGGATACATTTTTGGATTTCAGCCCGTACCGCACAGCAGAACACTGGCTCTCCAAATGTCTCGTTAAGGATTCACTGGCATCAGCTAACACGAGCTGTTGCCCAGAGAAAACAACTATCATAAACCTCCAGATAGCTTAGTTTGCTTGCAGAAATCACGTCTCATAGTCATGCGACTGTGGTCTAATGCACATGTCCCACGGTATTCCAGGGTAGGCCACTTCAGCACCATGTGTTTCAAATCAGCAAACGTAACCAGTCTTCCACCTTCGTACAAGGACCTCTCCTGCCACACTATAATCAGGACTTTCAAGACAAACGGAGGGCTGCACAACCTCGACTGCCTGATTTTAGTGCGACTAGCCTATTCAGTGACTGCACTTTGTGCAAAACGCATGCCAATCGACAGAGTGACTTTTGTCATTCGATCCCAAAACACCTGTCCCTTCTTTTCCACTTCGTCCAGCATACTCCAACTCAACAAGGTTGTCGTCAGCAGTCATTTGGACACCGGGTTTTGCAGACTTTCCAGCGTCGATCAGGAAATTAGCTAGGAATGAAGGTTGTGAGCATACTTGCTGAACACCAGTTTTTGAACAGAAGTTTGGGACAGCATGTTTTCATATGTCCGCAAATTCAAGAATACCAAGAACACATTATATAAACAAAATTTGGGGACATTTCTTGCTACGCAAGCGTGCCAAGGAGAACAGATTGGTCTGCTGAGCCATTTGCACCTTAAAAGTCTAGGAATACTAAAGCTGTAGGCCCTCTATTCGTATGGCTCCGTTCTAGTACCTGAGAGTATGAAAATATTGTCAGTGAAACCCCAGGATTTTCCACTTGCTTCTCTCGAGTTAGTCATTCACAGGTCAAATTAAAGCGATAAACTGTTGGTTAGGCCAAGTGCCTCGTTACTACTGGAGTCAAGCTGATCCCAAAGTTTATGTCGCAACCCACCAACAATCTAGTCAATTAACCCGAGTTGTTTGGGACAGTTGATTTTTTCCAAGTGTAGGCAAACAGATAAGATAAACGCTAACTTAGGAATGCATCCTCATTCTTAAACAACGCAAGGTCATCCAGAACAGGAGCTCGATGGCGCTTAAAAAAAACCTATCTAGTCATAAGCTGACCACCATAGGGGTTTCCAGAGTGACCGTCCAGGGTCTTACCGTAGTTCAACAACCCTAGTAATTGACAACAGGTAGCCAAGATCGACCGGTCGAGACATTCTTCTTTTTAAAGCTCCTCACGTATGACTTCTGGGAGGGCATTTCGAACAGCGAACCCGAATAATCTTTGGGCACTCCCGACATTCTTCGCCTCTTCCATTTCCTCAGGATTCCGTGTCCATCGGGCCTCACGATTGGCAGACAAACAAATTTTTGCCTGACATCTGGTGGCTTAACAAAGTAAAGATTGTACAGGAAGAAAGTAGTACCACTGCGTACTTGATTGGTTGAGTAAAAATGGCGACGTTGTGAATTAGGATAACATCACGGAATTATCGTGATCTCATTCCAATATGAATTGATATCCGTAGACTCAGTCTTTTGAAGAGGGTTCAGAAAACGGCTCTGATAAATGTGTTTACCTTCGGGAAATGCCAGCCTTTGGTTTGCAAAGCGAGTTGCCCGTCCTTTACAAGGATCTGAGGAGTGAAGAGCAAGACAACTCCAGACAATTGCATGATCAGAATCCACATGTGTTCCAAAGGGAGTGACAAGCGTCCGGCACCCGCAACTTGCGGTGGCGTATTCAATTTGCGAATGCAGTTGGCTCACTGTGGATTGCACCATTTAACCACGTGAATTTTGGTTACTTTGGAAGTTAGCACCGCATGGAAACAGTTCGTGGTCCATATACAAAAATAAGGCAGTCTTTCGGCATTCTCTATACGTCCAGTATTCAACCTTAGTTGACTACGCAATTGCGCAAAGCCGGCCCACAGCGAGCCCACCGTGAAAAGGCTCACTTTGCTACGTAAGAGCTACAGTCGATGAAAATAAAACCAAAAACTTTAAACAGACAACGATCGACTTCTAGCTTTTGAGAATCTTTTAAGAACCACAAAGAGGTGATTGTCAACGTGTATCCAGCCAAGCAAGGGCCCTTCCTCACTAGGACTCATAAGAATGTTAAGTCGTACCTTGCCAGCTTCAACGATCTCTGGAGCGCGACCGTCGCATGGTTGACAGTGCGTGGAGAGTGATGGGCCATTCTCCGGAAGCGCGACCGTCGCAGGTTTGACAGTGCGTGGAGAGTGATGGGCCATTCGCTCAGAGAATGGTCTTAAATCCCGAAATCTTGTTCCTTCAGCGTAGCAAATGTTAATACAAGATGTGCACAATATGTCAGCAAGAGCATTCGGTTCTTCTGCTTGCCTCAGAGTGCGAACGTTAAAAGTAGCCAGATATACTGGGCGTTGAGGATTGAAGGCTACGTTCAACGTGTCTAAGGCGTTCGACCCAGACTGATGCGCGGATGTTGCCACCAGGACGACTTCAAGATGAAAGAAAGGGGTCTTCAGTCGAAACCTGTGGGGCTACAAGAAAAGAATTATCAATAGGATGACGGATGGAGAAGAAAAAGTCCCTTCCCCGCTCTGCTGTATGCAGTTGGCCCAGTCACTGTTTTAAATGACAATAAATATCATTACGTTATACTCATTCAGACACTGCAAGTTTTTCAAGGCTTACAAGCAAGAGCATCATTTACCTGAAAAGTGCAAAAGTCAGAAAAAAATTGAATGTTTGGGGCATATGTACTGCCGCCGAACATTGTTCTGTCAAGATGCCCAACCCGTATTTTTTCCTCAGCCCCTCAACTGTTCCAGGAGAGCTACTGTGTGTTATGATGCGATCGACATATTCTGGAAGCTTTTCTGTCTCCGGCAAAAGTAGTTCAGATAAAATCAGCGCGTATAGTTAAAGGACAAGAGCTGCTATATATTGCTCGAGCAAGCCTCGCAGATCCCAACACGTGGATACCAGTGGCATTAAATTTACTACTGCATTGGATTTCTTATGGTAATAAGTTCAGAACTACCGAAATGGGCTAAAGAATCCTAGGGCTTTTACTACAGTTGATTATACCTGAAATGCCTCACTTTTTAGTAAAAGCGTACAGGTTTGTTTAAGCAATACTGAGAGGTATTAATTTGACGTATAGCTGAGGGTGAGTTTGGAGTATACCGAATTTACTGCCTGCGTTGTGGTGACAAATATCGTTCCAATCTTTTCACCCAACAAATTAGTTTGCTCCGATATCCAGGCCAAAACAGCACCGCATCCCGACGTGTTACTTGACCTAACAACTTCAAAAACGAACCCCTGCTTTTTACGTTATATGGCCCGTCAGTTGGACTCTGGCATAATGACCGCTGCGCCGACCGAGTGTCCAAGTTTTGAACTGACCCCGAGCAACTTGGAACCACGTGACGCTACTGTGTTGGTTGGCGTACCTTCCATTCGATTTCCCAGTGCTGCCGAAGTAGCCGCCTTGTCAGCATTTGGAAGTCAGCTTGCATCAGCTCGATTCAGTGACACCGTGTTTGCCACAGATGAATATCTGGGTGAGTGTCGAAGACCTATTGCTTTCAACCACTACATTTCAGCGAAAATAGACCTAAAATAGTAGCTGTTGACAAAAGTGCCACTTTCTATCATCAATGAGTAGATTTTTTCATTCAGCGACCTCGTCCCCTTATTTGCTCGGAGGTATAAACATATCCCGTTTGTCGGGCATCTAAACTGAATTATGTATGAAGCTTGTTTAAATAATTCTCTGTTTTTTCGATACCGCTGAGTGCCTATGTATCAGACTGATGAGTTAAATTCCTTTCTTTAGAACCATACCGGCTGATGGATAGTGACCCACACAACAATGTAACTGATCGGGACCGATCCGGGGGGTACTTGTCTGCGCCGTCATATGGTTGGTTGAATTTGTCAACGTTTGTGTACCGATTAATAATCTGAATCGATCAAGAACAACAGGATTCAAATTGCTTTCGATCATACGGGTTATCCGAATCCTACAATCAAGCCAAAGTTGTGTTGCGGCCTGTTAAATTGTGCTAGATATTCAGTCCCCATGACTTTGCGCCGCTGATCTGTAAAGTGCCATCTAGCTTCTAGTCTGTAGGCCTAAATGTATCTGAACGGACAAGTGATTCATTTTTAGCTTCACATAAATGTGTGGTTCATTAGTCAAGATGAACAGTCCCAAAAATAAGCTTCGTTCGTGACACATACGATCATCTACGAATCAGCAGTCTTCACAAAGTTTCTTTCGTTTGTCAAGAAAAACTATTAGGGAAGTGCTTTCAAGACAATTTGCTAAAGTGTGTTGGCAAACTATGAACGAAATTTTCATCGTTTAGGAATGCGATATGACGATGGTTGATCTCCCTGTGTGTTTTGTCTCTGCTCATCTTGCACTCAGTTCCACTCGGGATGATAGAAGTGGATCATAAACACCAGTCCCTGAAATGTGCATTGTCAAGAAGACGTGACCAATATCTTTGGAGTGGTATGTGCGGAAAACTTACTTGTTTGGGCCAGTACACTAGTTACCAGAGCTTGTGAACATGAAGTATGATAAAGGCTCAATAGGACGTTTGGCCTAGACGGACTGCGGATTCCGCACCGGTGGTTGATTTGATGTCAAACTACAGATTATCCGTAAAATGCTCTACCGAAACTGATACTCATAAGAGCTTACAAAGAGGTACCCTAATATGAGAACCAAATTAGAATTCGCGAGAAAGCACTCGCGAAAAGGTCTGTCCGTATTCAAATACCCTTCAAAAACCCACCTTACGTTCTACTTGAACCCAAATTAGACTGTTTTCGACAAATGCACTCATCTACAAATTGATCTGGTTTTCCTGAGAGACTCAGGTAAAACATAAGAACGAAACCGGTCGTGTTCCGTCGAAGAGTTACCAGGAACCTTGTGAGTAGTTTCCTTTATGAAAATAAACTGCCATACCTCGAATATCGTGCCAAATGGAACATGAAGCGGCCTGTGTGCAGCACATTTAGCTGAAAAACATCAAAAGAGAGAGATTCACTTGAGTCTCCCATGAAAGCCAAATTGATTTCAAAGTGAGTGTATTTATCTGCATTAACCTTCCCGAGGCACTCACCTTTCGTCCAACCCCGCCTTGAAACGGACGTTCAGTCCAGTCTACATTATGGCACACATCAAAAAATTTCCCACTACTCAATATCAGCCTCAAGCGTAGAGTCCTGATTAACGATTCATCAATGATGATTTACTCCTTTGTTCGCGAACGTTCAGCACGAATGTTCGCAAGAGCTGGCGTCCAGGCATTTCCTGAGCACAAAACAAGCTGCAGGAAAACTGAACAGGCCAGATAAGTGACAGGTGAGATCGCCGCGCATGGGATTGATACAAACCACAAGACTGACCCAGCGCAACCGATCAGACTACTTTATCAGGCAGTGATCCGAAGAGCATTTCAAACATCCGAAGCAATTCCTATTCGGTTAATGGCCTTCACTGTTTCAGAAAAAACGCATAAATGAAATGGGACTGCCTTAAGCCACCAGTCACAGACCTCAGTAGCTAATATGGTATTCGTGAAACGCGAAATTACTGTGTAATGCACTGACAGTGCTCGCAACAAAAGTCCACCAGAACAAATGATGATTGTTTGTTGCTAAGATTTCAAACCCAGGAATTTCCACCAGCTTGCTATTGAAGGTAATGTAGATTGCTTAGATAGCACCGGTGTTTTTGGTTTGTTTACTGAACTACGCTATTCCGTTTCAAACCGTTCACCAACAATCAAGATAACTTCGTTATTTTGGGTCGTTGCGGACTTAATTTATCGTAAAATCAATCAGTACACGAGATAATTAAACTGAGCTGTACATTCGTAATATACACTCACTTGTGCATTAATTTGGTTTCAACGGGATACTCAGCTGAATTCCAGCTGAATCTCTCGTTTATGCTGTTGTTCAACCGAACGGGCTCCATAAAGGTAGCCTAATACATCACTTAGTACTACTAGGCAAAATATGTTTCCTGACGCAACATACTACTCGAGTGTGTGCTTTTCGAGAATCCTACATACTTTAGGTTCAAGAAAAAGACAAGGTTGACGGAATCTCAGAGAGTTCGTCCACAAGCCTAGCCCATGGAAGGGCAATGCGCGACCTTTTTTAAAAGCAGCCAAGAGAAAGTGAGTTGTACTTTCTTACCGTGCAAATTCTTAGCCCACAGCTGACTGGTTGGCATATAAAGCAGACCGGCCAAATTCACAACCTTCACTCTTTGTTATTTTCAGGGCCAAACTCATTGTTCTCTGACTTTGGAGCGCTGGAATTCGTTGGCCGCTATTTTATCAAGCTGCAAAGTGATATGAACCAGAACGACATGTTAGCCTTGCTGGAGAAGCTTCATCGCATTGTTAATTCACAGCTCTGGTCTTTCAAGGTCAGCCAACCAACTATGCGTCGCGTGTTGAATTCGCTGGCCATCGCTGATTGGACAAGTGATGTTCTGGAGACAGCTTGGTTGCTGTATGACGAAAGCCTGAACGAGGCAGTCTGTGAGCCATTGTGTTACACCGACACAGACGGACAAAAGAAGTGCGGGGTATCAAATCACCCCAAAACGTTTTATTGTTTGAAACTGGACATGAGCAATGCGGACTTGCTTGCGTTGGACCGCGTTAAGACTGCAGTTGGAGAAAGCTGGAAACAAGTAGACATGGACCAGGCATGTTTGTATGATCTCGGTGTTGTGCTTTCTATTTTCAAACTGATGAAGTTAAAAAGTGCGGAGGTGATGTGTTCAGTTTGCTTTTCGGAAACATTTACCACGTGCAATCGAAACTGTGCGAAGTAAACTATCAGCGTAGACAAAGGAAGCTAGAAATAAGTTCACCAACCCAGGTATATCCGATACCTGGTGTCCTGTGATCTGCGTTTAGCAGCGCTGTTCTGAGAAAATTAGTTTGTTTGAAACGCATATGAACGAATTAACAACAATCTGAATGCTTTTAAAACAAAAGTGATTTACACCAATTACACTCATATACACGCGAATTCGGTTTTTACAGGAGATACAGCGGGGTCTCACGTGAATCGCTCTTTCATGTTATTCTTGAACTGAACAGGCTGAGCACAGGCCACCTCGGATAGAAGTATTTCCAAAAATCTTGCGCGTAGTTTCCTTCAGGAGTAGGTTATCTATGATGGGTACAACCTTCTAAGCGAAAGCAAGCAACTAAAATGTTTTCCATGAAAAGGCAGATAGGTAATAATAGGAGAAACGACACGCTGACTTGGGCAACTTAGTCTGAAGAGTATTCATCAGTCACCTCATTTGTTGGCCCCGTAGTCGAATGACCATTGGTGCTGAATGGTCACTCTTCAGGTAGCTTTGAATGATAAGAGATTATTGAAACATATTACGAGATTTTGCTGGAAATTACGGAATCCGACAACGCGTATAGCTTGTCTCTAAAGAAAAGATTGACAAGGCCTATGTTATTCAACTCCTTTGGGTGGCTCAGGATTATTTTTAACCACAGGGCTTGTTCACTTTCTTCCTTGCTTTGAAGAACAGAATGCTTCAGGCATTCTTGTAAATGATACCAGGATTCAATCTACAGGAAAATCCAGTAACTAATTACACCCTTGGATTGGATGCATGCATTTTAACATTAGCTAGGCAGAAAACGGCATACAGAAAGGCACAACCGTTTCTCATAAGCGCGGAGGTCAAATGTAAGGATCACCAGAATCTAGGAAGGAGTGGACTGGGGCTTCGGAAGATGGGCAGTCAGTGGCAAGGTCAGCTTGTCGTTACTGATGGTCCCAGGAACGTCCACACAATTCAGGACGGTCGAGGATCGAAAAGAGTAAGCGGTGCTCAGCTTCGGAAGCGGCATGGTACACCGAAAGAGCTGTCGAATATACCAGCTTCTGGGACCAACCTAACGGATGTCGGTGGCACGCAAGCGGCCCCTAAAGGGGATGGCTGTGTAACGGTGGATACTACTGATTAGACCTACGAGTAGTCTGTGGCCTTCTCGAGGCTGTCCCACATTCAACGGAATGCAAAGTCTACTAGGGAACTTGTGGAACTGATTTGCCCCGTTCGTTGACCATTGCGTGCTATTCAATTAATATCCATTAAAAGTTCAAAAAGACGCGTCACGATGTCCAGTTCATTAAAACTACGTGCATATGAGACGTTTAACTTCCTGTTCAAAAATTTGCTAACAAACGGTTTCATGAAGAAGGGCTATCTTTCTCACACGTGAACAGTATTTAGACCCTGTAAGTTTTGAGAATTCCATTGTTTTTAATTCTTTCCGCATTTTGATAACTTTGATGGAAAATTGCTATTTTGACCACGAGTAGGAAACATTGTTTGGCCCTAAAATATCGTCGCCTTTTAAAATGTTGAACTTTGGACAGTATTGACCAATTGTAAAAAAACTTTCAGTGACGATGTTCTCTTATGGTGTACGGCTGTTGCTGTTTCCAATGATAACAGCTAATTTCAGACGAAATGTGGCTACGTTGTGCACCTTAATCCACTAAAATGCTTGTCTTTTACATCGATGGACAGATTTTCCAAGCGCTGTGAGTGCGCTTGTTTGAACCCACCTTGAACCAAGAAATGTGAAACCAGTTCTTAAAATTGGTGCGATGGAAATTTTCTCTGGTATCTCATTTCAACTGTCTGGTAACGGTCATGCTTTTGCCGTTACACGAACAGGGGTTGACAATGGAAACCTCTAAGCACTACTGTCCTACTGAGCTTTATGGCTAAACACTTCAGGTTCCAATTGCTGACTGAAAGTTTTAGTGAGATCCCGCGGTAGCCTTTAAACAAATCATTGTTGTCCAGACATTCTAAAAATAGCTGCATCCGTGATGTAGCACTTCTCACCCAGGGAGCCTGTCTTTAGCTGCTGCTCACGCAGCTGTTAATCTGCTCACATAGATTAGCAACCACCTTGAAGACGTTTAGTCAACAAATGAGGCTTGGGTAAGTTCTTCCTTCTTATCTGTGTGTCAGGAGGTGCCCATCCAACCGCACATTGATAATGTCTCCTCATTGCAAACCAGTTGTCACTTTCGGTGAATAAATCAACAGTTATCTGATCAGCAAAAAGTAAACGCATTCGAGCTACCAAGATTTCGACAGTGACACAACCGGTCCTCGTTCAAACCTGAAAACTGAATAAGTAGCCAATCTGCTTTGAAAAGTCATTGAAGTCTTACCTGTTATCCAACTTTCATCCATCTCCGGCAAGTGGAAATTTAACAGGCATCCGATGAATGACTTTTTTAAAACCTTTTTTTGTAGTAATTCATCAGCTGCACTCTATTGATCGATTTTTGACCAATATGATTCTTCCAGGCGAAACTCATCTATCCAACTTACAATTCAGATGCTTTGACAGGCCATTTGAAAAATTATGTACCGTTGTCGCTTCTTTGTGCAGCTTGGGATTGTTTCTGCTTATGAGGCTGTCAAAACAACTGTATTGGCACTTGGACAGCTCATAGTGACTGACCAGTGGCCGGACTCAATTAACGGCAGCGAAATGGACTTGTGTAACGTCTGCCCACCAAAGTTGGATGTCAGCACCCGGTACTATAGGTTCGCTGACGCAGTCACAAAGGTAAGGTACCACTTGCATTCACCCACATTTGATAGTTGTTGGCCGTGAATGCTGATATAATTTTACGGTATCGATCTGAAGGCTGTTCCTTGCAAACGCCGTTCTCTGTTATCATTACGTTCCTTGTAAAACCAAACTGATGTCTGAGTACTTGAGTTCGGAGAATGACCGCCATTGTTAGTGAGGAAAGTAATAGTGGTTGGCAAGTTACTGACCAGGTTTTGGGCATTATGTGGAGCAACTGAATTTTTTGTAGCGAAACATCGAGAAAACTTTGAAACTGATGGACCATGGAACACCGGCAGTAAAACCCAACAGATTCAATTTAACCAAAGTACACGGTAAGAATACAGCGCTAAAATGGCACTGAATCGGTAGAAGAACGACCGTAGTATGCTCGAAAGTGCAATATATTGTATATGCAATATATAGTATAAACTGCGATAGATCATGGATCACCAGTAATGTACACACAAACATTCAATCTGTACGGTATTTTTGCTGTGATAAGTATCATTTCCAAGGTGTAACTGTGCTTGTTAAGGTCACAGTCCGACTGAAATTTGTACCTTTTTATTGTGTGCTGGAATCCCGCATTTTCTGATTTCAATACCAGAAAGTAGTTTGTCTTTTGCTTGATTGTTAAATGAGCCTGAATATCGATCACGATCCTCAGCAGGCTGGCTGAGGAAGTGGGTGCATAGGCTCATTGTGACCTCATCCACCTTGGTACAAAGCGCCATGTCTGATAACTTTCTAGAACGCGAACTGGCAAATTTCACTGTTCACTGCGTGCAGCTGTAGCACTCTTTCGATGCCTAGCTGCCAGGCCACACGAAGGAGACACAAGAGCTCAGATAATGCCAGGTTGCCCAAGCCTAGATAAGGGAATTCGAGAGGCAGAGGTTGGGTTCGAACCATGGACCTTCCGGTCAGTAAATTCGCGCTCTAACCTCCTTCTAATTTAACACGGTTTGAAGGGTACCAAATTGTGTCCTGGACTCCGGTCCAGGATAAAAATGACCAATAAAAGTCGTTTTGCACGCCATCCATGTATGTGCGATAGAAGTTTTATTCATCGATCTGTTCTTCCGTTCCACTGAAGGACAATTTACTTCCCCTGAGGTAAACCCAGTGAATCCACGGTAAATCAATAAAGTGAACCAGATAAATTATGGTCTTACCAATCGCATCATTACAGAGAGTTTGTTGTTCGGGTAACCTGGAAGCTACGGAAACAACTCGATTTTGGAGACACTGGTCAAAATGAATACAGTCACTTCTGAATCATACTGGTTTTCATACGCTGATGATGGGTCCGTTGCTGGAACAGGGAAATTACCATTCAAGCAGCTGACGAACAAGAGTTCAGATCTGAACCATTCAAGGGGTGTCGGGAGTGAGTACATGTTACTGTGGCATTGATCGAGGGAGTGAATAGGCCAAGCTAACTGCAGTGTCCGTATGTGGTGCCTTTGAGCAAAAACATGCGGGTTGAACACTTTAAAACATACTACTGTATCAGCTGTGCTTCAAGCGCAACTACTGGTTGTTTGTCTCTCATGAAAAGCCGGTAAAGACGCTGCGGAAGTTGTGAATGAATCAATTTAATTCAACAAGGTGTGCCACCACAACGCTGTTTGTAGATCTGGTAAGTTTATTGATACACTCGGCAAAGCATCTGGCCTCGTGGTCAGCATACTTTGTCTGTCTATAGAAGGCAACAGAATAGGCATAAGCAAATAATTCACTACTAAGCCGTATTTTGTTAAAGTGAAATAAAAACCACAGGGAAGAAGAGATTCAAAAACTTCTGGCCATAATTCGCTTCATTATCTCCAGTGCTCAGTGAGGTTGTAATATATTCGGAAAAGCGATGCTGGATCCATACTGTACTGGGAAAGCCAAGCCACTTCAAACCAGAAAGAGTCCATGTATGTAATGTAATGCTGTCCATTCCTCCGGCATCACCCCATCGAAGTGGCGGTTGGCTTTTCAGTATGTGCTAATGCGTAAAGGTTTTCCGTCCAGTGAGGGGTAAAACATTTTTTGTTGGATGGATTATGTTCTTTGGGAATCAAGCCCAGTGCTCCCCTCTTCAGTTGTTGACCAATCAGAATACTTGTGCTAAGACAGAATGAGAACTGTTCGAACCAACACAGATAACCTATCCCAAAAGTCACTTTAAATAATTGAAGAAGCTTCCGGAAAACCTGCGTATCTATGATGAATTTACACAGTACTTCCAGCTATATTTTATTTGTTGGCCGCTGAACCTCACTGAGTCATTATCCACACCGTATTGACGGAGACCGGTAGCGATTCTTTGAAGTCATGCAGCTGGTAATAAATTTTAAGTGTGCAATTCCCCCAATTTTGGGTGGGGAGTTCCACAGAGCCTCAGATTTTTATGCAAATGATATCAGAATTTGCTCCTAGCTAGGCGTTTGAGTAAATCTTTTGCTTAGAAGGAGGGGCATTTGGGGTCGCGCGTGCTTCAATGGCAGAACGACGGTTGTCATCAATAACCTTCAAGGTCACGTCAAATTGCATTTCGTGGCACGGCAAATCAGAAGTGGTGTTTTTGTTTGTCTATGGATTTCACTAGCAATTGGGCTGGGTGTTCCGACAAGCTGATGTAAGAATGATACAACTTCTCGAAGGCTCGAGCGTAGAATCTGCTAGTAAAATGCTGTATCGTTTTTTGGCACCAACCGAATCCTGAGCGCCATGATAGAAGTGTTTCCTTCCTTAAAGGATAGCTTTACACCAATCCCATGTACCGGTGGCGGAATTTTGTTCTTCACTTCTAAAATCTTATAGCTACCGTCACGGATCGGTGCAGCTGGAGAGATTGTATTCAACGGCTCTGTCTTCAACCATAACGCCAGGGTTCGACTGATGCGGTGTGATACGGATGGTTCTGAGTCAAACACCCTTTGTGAAGATATGGTGAGTGTAACGGTCGCATACAGCATTCCCAGTAAACTCTGTTTATTGCGTGTCACCCGATAGACTGACCGAAACAGTCATGACCAATTAAATTTCGAAATGTAGTTTTCTTATTCTATGCAGTATGCAGGTTTAAGTATGCACTTCAACAGATGTCTTCCGTCCGAACAAGCCCGGAACTAGCATTACTTAAATTTCCGTGATTACTTCATCATCTATGCTTTCAGCAATTTCCGTGTGCATTCAGAGGACGGAATCTGGTAGATGCGGACTTATCATATTGGCTCGTCCGTGCCAACTCACAAATACCGAGCACAAAGTCCCTTGTTCGATAAATAGCGTTCCGAGCAAACTGACGGTGTTTTGAAAACATTTCTAGCCAAAGGTTGTGCGTTCCAGTTGAACGGACGGTTGATGGATTTCCTGTCAGGACTAGTAGTGTACGAGCGCACGCCAATCAAACACTTGTCGTCTCTAAGGCTGAAGCACTGGTCAAAAAAACCCAAAGTGAAGAAACCGGTGCTTGTCCTCGCCCATTCAGATATGCTCGTCAAAAGCAGATTTGAAATGCTTTTTAAATTTACAGTTTTCAAATTTTTTTTACTGTCGAAGTAGTGCAACAGTTCTTCGAGATTTAAACATTTTTGCCAAAACCGTTTTGTCATGAGCCGATTCAGAACACCAGATTTTACGACTAATCAGTTAAGACTCTTCTAGAATACCCTGGACGAAATGGATTTCCTAAACTGTTCAGTTAGCGAGACGGTGGTGTAGGATATCAGGCACCCCGACTACAATACTGTATTGAAAAAGGTCATATTCACGGAACTTGGCTTCAAATGTGATAGGTTCACTGCTTCGGCAGCCAAACGTTAAGGTGGTTACCGTTCTGTTGTCGCGATCCAACCGTAATGAAGGGATACCGCTGCCTTTGGTTAGGGGAGATGAAACAATTGAGGCCAGATCCCACTGCTATCTCATGGGCAGCTATGGCTTACGTTATATAGACAGAAATGAGAGGTGCTTCAGTGTCCAGAGGGAGAAGCACTTTGTTCAACGGATGCGGAATGTACTTACAGCACCGTACCATAAAAGAAACTATTCACAAGGTTGCTGAAAACTATTCGGCAGCCCACGACCGGTTTCGCCCCTCTTAGGGCTCATCAGGTAGGCTCAGTCCCCGAGTTTCCGTCAAAATTATGATCTACTTGAACCCCAACTGCACTGTTTTCGCGAAATACACTCATTTGCAATTCAATTCGGTTTTCACGAGAGACTCAACTGAATCTGTCGTTTATGATATTCTACAACTGAATGTGCTGCACACAGGCCGCCTCATATTTCAGTTGGCACGATTTTCGAGATATCGCAGTATATTTTCATAAAGGAAACTACTCACAAGGTTGCTGTAAACTCTTCGACGGCCCACGAATTTCCGTCAACCTAACGTTTTACTCCCATGAAAACCAAATTAATTTGCAAATGGGTGTATTTATCGAGCAACGTATCGTGTTGATTCGATCTAAACATTCACCGTTTTTCGTTGTCATCCGATTAAGTGTCCTCGAATTCGCTGACACTGCTAAAGACTCTAGGCCGGACATGCGTTGTTTCTCTCAACTAACTGAGTAACCTGAATTCATTAGTAGAGGCAAGAAAAATGTCGTCTTCCTATTGCCAATAATTTAGCAGTGACGAGTCAAATAAAATCGCTGCAACCACTGGTTCCCCTTTCCTAAGTGTATTGTTCAAATTAGTGAGGAACAGTAGTCGTCCTAAAACTCAGTATGGCTTAATCTGACTATGGATGATTGGTCACAAAAACCTCGTCGAAATGCGTCTATACTAGCGCTGACTTCAGCTCACCTGACTTGTCTCCTGAAGCAGTTGTACTTTAGAAATGATGATGGGGCTGATGGAATAACTGTTGCCATGACAGTGCATTATCTAGTCTAACTGTAATAAACCTACGCAAACGTTATCCGATTGTATGAGGAGATAAATATACTATGCTTTATCTTAATGGATTTGACTGAGAAATACAAATGTTTCTGGGCAGATATGCACACTTTTTTCGCGCTGTTTGACCTTGAACGAAACGTGTAAGACCTACTCTAAACTCACTAAGCATACCACATTTTTGAGTAATGGAAAAATTTATCTGTTACGCCAGGACATTTATTTCTATCTATTTGCGATGGAATTTAGCCGAGAGAATTTCAATGAGGCTCACTCTGTCTGGCATTAGTAGGTTGCGAAAATGGTTCTGTTTGAGGCACAGAGGTTCCTCGTCAAAATTCACGTTTTGTAGACCAGAAACCAAGAGTATGGCTATTCAGTTTGGCAGACTGGAATAGGGTCTTTATGGAACCAATATGGTCTTGCATCCTTGACAAATTTTCGGGAACAGGTAATGGCGTTGACTTACGTCGATTTCTTGAGCTCGCTGGGCGCATTTACGTTTCTTAATATTTGCGACGGTAACTGCTATCGGACAGCACTGCTCGTGTAAGCACGCAAGTTTATATCGATGTGGCATTCGGTGAGATTCGGCATACAAAATTAAATTCAATTGCTAGAATTTTAATAGGCGATTTACGGCGTCCACGTTCGACCACTTTGGTTGAACCTTTGGCAGAAAAATGAACCAGTCTCAAAATCGCTAAAGTGTACAAACTGGTGAAGATTTCGTTAAGCAAGTGAGGGCAATCCAAGCTGAAAGCCTAGAAACACTGTACAGATGTATAGCACTCGCTGTACAACACTGTGCAGCGCTTCATCTTGTCTAAGTGCAGGCTAATTACACAGCTGATCAATCGCTCGAGGTCGAACGGTTAAGTGTTCAAAATACTAGCCACGCGTTCGAGGATCCCCGTGAGATGCAAAGTTCTGCTGAGTCCCAATTAGGCTAAGACGACTGTACAATTCTCTGCTTTTGGAAGTAGATCGGATTTATATAAAAAAATCCTGTCTCCATTCATATTACCAACAGTGTACACACAGGTTTTCGTCTTGTACAGCCAGAGCGATCCCCGTTAGCCTGTGGATACATGCTGCTGATACACGACGTTCACTGTTTCAGTCCACATTTTTACTGGATAAGTGATTGTCCCCAGATGTATAATCAGTTAAGGTAGTTAATCGACGTTTTATGACGCCGACGCCTTATTCAATTTTCGCTGAAGTCGAAGTATCATGTTATATACCAATAAAGAACTGGATCTTCTAATCTAGGTCTGTGAATGGTCAAGCACGATCAAACTTGCAGAGTTTGTGTAGAGCAAGTTGTATTTGAGTGAGAGAGAGAGAGGAACGAAGTAATGTATTCCACTTTGTCGAGTGTGTTTCAATTCTGCTCAAACTAAGATGCAATTGCTCTTTAGGAAAAAGCACATAAAATTGTCTGGTGATTAGCTACTTCTCGGCGATGCTATACCCCTTATGTCATTACCAGTTAACAGCTTTACATTCTTGTCATCCTTTCAACTGTGGCATACGATCTTTTGCCACATCTGAGGGCGAGAAACACCCTATTCCTCATGGCGCCCAACACATTCCGATAGATTAACGGCGGCACAAACGAGCGTTTTTTCAATTGATTTGGCTCACAATATAAAGTGTTGACTAGGAAATTGGATAAAGTTGAACTCGCGAGTTAGAGGACAACCGATTTGTGCAGAATTGGTTGTCAAACTCGGAAGGTAAAATTGAGTGTAGGCAGTCTAGGCAACCAGTGGGATGAAACTTGGTTTTTTTTGGGCAGCCCGACTTACCACAAGAGACTGTTTGTGCACTGTTTGTACTACATGATTTCTGAGAATAGCCAGAGGACAGGAGAGACACAGCTGGTACTTTTTTCAGGTTCACCTCGGGGAGTCTGGCTGATTTTTCACAACGATGAAGTCCGCTGGACCGAGACAAACCGGGTTTTTTCGTGATGTTGGTATTTAATCGGGGGAAACAATCGTGCCCGCTTTCGTAATATGAAGTTTGCCTTGTAGTACAGCTCTGCTGAAGAATGTCCTTCTCTGAGATCTATACTAAATTAGTCCATCAGATTTTGATGTCGTGAGAGCAAAGACTTATTTTTGTTGATTTAAACAAGGTGCCACTACTGCGCAAAGTCTGCTGGCGTCACCGGTTGAAATAATTACACTGAGAGGAATAAGTACGACAGTATAGATTTTACTGGAGTCCCACACCAAAAAAACAGCCCCTAAAATGGGGCATTTTGAATCAATCCTTTCAGTTGGTCATTTTCATGGTTGTACAACCAATTTAATTTCAATATTTTGGGGCATTTTATGCCCACCCGTAATGTCTTTGAAAGGACAAATTAAAAAAGTTACCAAAATCAACTTCCCTTGCTCTCGACGTCAATCGCTCTTATTTAACAAAGCTTCTGGGTTCGTACTTCCCTCATAGAAAGCCGTTTATTCCTACGGAACGAACGAGGTCATTCTTGAGAACGAGACCCTACCATCCCTTGGTCGAGGGCATCCACTTCGGGTGCTCGTGATTCCGGTACGTATCTGTTTCATTTGCCAAGTTGGTCCCTCTCTATCAACCATTTCATAGAGCGTCCCACAAGCGTTTGCTTGATATACCAAAGCTAACGAAACAAAAATTAGGCATAGTAATACATGGTATCTTAATGCTCATTAGCGTTTAGGGCCTTGTCATAGCAGCTGTTTACGTGCAAAGAAAGCCTCTTTAGAAGAGACTTTTGAGTGTGCTGAAATGATTACGAATCTACTGAAAGAATCTACTGGTGGCTAAAACACCTTCTCACAGAAGACGAGATTTCGGGTATGCCCACTAAGTTTCTCTCCTAGCCTAAAAAAGCTGTGGAAAGTAATCAGGCACCCAATATCCCTAGTGATGACAGGTTTTGAAATGGCCCACACTTTGTTAAATAATACATTTTTGGACCTAAACCTAGATCTTTTCCAGATAAGCTCCGCCAAAAAATTAACCCCCGCCACCCAAAAATATTAGAAAAAAGAGGATATGAAACTGTACTTTTAGTTTTTATTGAGGAGGGTTAACTTGGAACGTCATTAATAATTTGCATGCAAAGGTCCGTTTTTCGGTACCTTTGCCTACAAACAAACTCACACAAGTAGCTGTCCGCTGAAGATCGGTGTGTGCCGCGTTAGTGTGTTTGAGCCCCAGTCGTTGGATCCACAAAGTTTTCGCAATGATTAACTGTTTTGTGAGTAGAATTCATGTCAATCATCGTTTCAATTCCTTGGTATGATGCCCAAAAATCGGAGATAATGATTGAGCCAGGAGCGATACAGGCCCGGATTGTGTCCATCCAAGTGGCCGCAGTTCGATTTGGCACTGCATACATGAACGCCTCCTTAGTTTCCCGGCAGATCTCTCCGAAAATCCACAGTTGGTGAAGGACTCGTCCTGTGTGGTTTTTACGGCGAGATATTAGCGTTTCATCGATCACGACATGCAGACCTGAGCCGCCGATAACTGTTGGAGTGTGCAGAAGCCGTCATGCGCGAAGGAAATTCTTCCAGTCAACAACGGTCTTGTGGCAAATAGATGATTTCTCTGGGCAGAATTTCTGGACCAGTAATAAATGAATAAAACTACTGTCCTAAACTCCATCCTAGACTGCTCCAGTCAAATTCCCTTTAGAAGACCGATTTCTTGCCAACACTGTCGGACGTTACACCTCCACCTGTCAGAAACAGTTAAAAGTGTCATTTGGCGGCCATCGTTGCATAAACTCTGCTGATGGATCACTCCGTAGGTTTGCAAAATCGTATTGCGGTCTCCTTGTCATGAAGGAGAGTTGAAAGCAACAGAAAGTTCATTTGAGGTTTTACCTCCAAACGAAGGAAATGTTTGCAGAAAAAGAACCTAGATGCGGATAAAAAATTCTTTTCATCCAAAATAGGTCAAGCTTGTGTGCGTACATTGGATTGGAGCTGGCAAAAAGTGGTGGGGCTCAACTTTTCGCACATATACTTTTTGCATTAGTGGCCTTGACTTATCTGGAAAAGATCCCCCTAAACCCACCGGAACGGGCTTGCTTTGAAAATCCATTGAAAGAATTGCCTTTGTATGTCTCATGGTACTCAGCTTGGTACCGGAATTTCGCTCGCATCACCAAGCGTCCTGATAAGATTTAGTGTAGATCGCAGATTTTCTCCTACAGAGCAAAGTTAAGTTAGGAGAAGTGCTGCAGTGTGACTGACCCTTGTCTGGAAAATATCTGCTATGCTTATGTCACAATTAGCGAGAGTTGTCCTAGCCGGAATCCTTCTGAAGCTTCTACGAGCTGAATATCGCAGTGTGAAATAAAAGACACTTGTCCAACAACTTGACAACATCATTTTACGTGATATAATATTTATTGGATGTTTCATGGCAGTTCTCAGTACAAATGAGATTCTGTTATCCGTCGAAGCAAAATCGAAAATTGAAGCAAAAAATTGTGATCGCATATGATCACATATGAAAGCCGATCCATAATCTGAGGTTGAAATGAAGCAGTCTTTAAGAATTAATCCTCACGGGCGCAGAGATGTGCTTGACATCTCACTTGATCTGGTCGAGGTATCGGTTACTGGTTACTTTTAAGCAATTGTCATTCCTACAGGCCTAGCTATCGACCACAAGCCTAGACGGCACCATAACTAAGCCATCACTGATGGTAAGTTTGTCACTCTCATTAATTTCATCCCTTTCCCTATTCTTATGAAAATTACGTCACTCTAAGTGGGCAGTCAGACGTGAGTTTCGCTCTTTATACGGTGCAGAGTCGTGCGAGAACCAACGAATCCAACATATTTTGGGGTTTTGCGCCCTTATTCTTATGAAATTACGTCACTCTAAGTGGGCAGCCGGACGTGAGTTTTGCTCTTTATACGGTGCAGAGTCGTGTGAGAACTAACGAATCCAACATATTTTGGGGTTTTGCGGGATATGTATTTTGTTCATAATCACACCACTCCTGTTCTGGCGTAATTTTCCGGTGAGTCCACACCAAAGTGAAGCACTAGACTCGAGTCTTGCTCTTATTAGAGCTCATCAATGGCCGTGCCGGGATTTGAACCCCGGGCATCCGACATGCGAAGCGAGTGTGTACCCACTGCTCCACCAACGCACTTTGGACGCATTTGAATTTTCACGTCTGAACAGGCGAACGTATTCACGCTTGAGCCATGTGATCTAACATGAATCCAACATATTTAGCAGCTAGTCACTGCTGAAGTATCGAAACGTCATAGTGACTGCGTTAAACGGGGTTACCCGCGTAAACGTTCCATTCCAAAATCCAACCCGTATTTATCTGCCAAATCTTGGGTAATCAGTTACGTTTTGGGTGAAAATGCTTATTGGCTGGTCAAGCCTTCCATTTTGACCAGATATTTCACCGAACATCATTTTGATCATTCAAAAAGGATCCACCTTTCGTGATCAAGACTGAAGACGGTTGGACCGGATACAGTGTAGAAGTGTTTGAGAGGATAGCGGATGCTCTCGGTTTGGACTACGTATACATTGAACAGTTGGATCATATTTATGGTGTCAAGCTTCCCAATGGACAGTGGAATGGCGTGATTGGAGAGATAGCTTCCAAGGTAAGAAGAAACACTGTTTCAGTGGGTGCAATGTTTTGATAAATTGGACTTTCAACTCTTTCCTGTAGGGTTGACGATGCGTTTGAAACCTCCGGAGAGCTCCACTGTTTGCAGTTTATTGCTGGCTTGAATGTCTTTCTCATCAGCGGTACCTACCGAAAGAAAGTTCGCTGAGAGACTCTCTCAGTTGGGGACAGTGTCTCTTGACCATTAACTCACACTGTGGTGGCAGAAGCCAAATGAAACTGAAGAAATTGTTAGGGCGGAGGAGATGCACGATTTGATTCATGTGTTCAGCTACGCCGTAAGAGATGACAGAACTAATATGGGTCACGGAATAACCATTGGAAAGTTGTCTTTGGTCCCACTCCGGGATCACTTGTAAGACACTATCAGCAAGAACAGTACAGTGCAAGGCTTAAGTCATCCTAGACCAGTTTTGAAGTGCAAACACTAATGTGTTCAAATAGCTTAACCGCAAACTATGTTTGTTCTATTCAGATAAAGCGACTTGTTTCAAGAATCAACCCATCACAATAGCAGTTTGCGTAATTCGAATGCATTCTGTAGATTACCTCAACTATTGCGTCAACCGTGGACAAAGTTGAAGTGTGCGTACATTGTGGCTACACTCGAAAGTGGAGTGAAGCTTTGCAGCGACTTCAACACAGTATTTTCACTTAATGCAGAACGGTTCTGCCTCAGGCACTCATTGCAGCAGTGATGTGGTTACCATCCCGCTTTGGCGGGGGGGGGTCGACCGTAAATTCGGACTCCTTCGGTAAAACGGATAAGCGGGAGAAGCAGCGGTATGCTTGGCTCGTTTTTAAAAGTAATTCTACCGTCACAAAACATCACAGCAAGCGTAATAGGTTTTCACATCAAGCGGAACACCTGATGACAAGTCACTTATGAGTTCATAGTCAAGTTTATCGCCCTTCTTCATACAGGGTGGTGACCCACATTGAATAAAGCAATAGGTAGTTATAGACTCGTCTAAACTCTGCTGCCACGTCGCGTTCTATACTTCTGATTCTGTTTTATACTGACCTGTATTCGATAAAAACACAAGATGCTGGTAGATAACCAATTGTTAAAATTGAAAGTTTGTCACCTAGGTTGTTCGTGTGTTTTGACAACTGGGTTGGTCACAAGATTATGTCACACCTCTCACTGAAGTCACTGTGATCTCCCGTGCCTTTTCACAGCATGCAGACGTCGGTTTGGGTCCGATCGTTCAAGATGGTGAACGAAAACTTGTCGTAGACTTTACAATACCGTATTACGTATCGGCTGGCCTGGCTATGGTAGTCAGTACGAAAACGGATCAGGAATTGGGACCGTTCTTTTTCTTGGAAGTCTTCACAGGGTAGGACAACACAAGTATCTCCCATTTAAGTGCATTCGCCTCAACATTTTGGCCTGATCCCATGCTTTTGAGTATTTTTATGTATTAGTATTATTACTTGATGCAGTTTAGGGAATCCGAAATGTCAACATAAGGTCACGGACTGTTGTGTTACTTTTAATGGAAAAATCTGGTTCCGACCGACTTCAGATAAGGTGATCAGATCTGGCGGGACGCGTTTCACAAGCAAAATGCCTCTGGGACTGCAAGCAATAGTGGTACGGTCTTTCGATATTTTCTTGATGAAGAGCGTTGTTCTGCACACCAAACGCGTGGTAGTGCAGACCATCTTGTAGATGATATGGTGAAAGTTCGAATTTAAGGTCGCCCACTGCAGCTGCTTCTAATCCCTCATGATGACACCCAAGGAGCAGCTGCACGATTGCAGGCGATGCAGAGAAAGTTGTTGGGGCAATCTTACGACTGCTTCCAGTTGAATTTCAGATTCTCAGGACCTGTAGTTTGAGATCCCTTGAACACTCGTTGTGGACCAAGAGCAAATCACCTTATTTCTCCATCCAGCGTTCGTTTCTTCTCTTTAGAAAGCCACTCGACTGTAAAGTGCCGGTGTTGTTGTCGGTGCTGATTTCAGGAGACAAGCACCTCACACCAAAGTTCTGCCGAATGAACGGTTGATGGAAGCACCGATCATCTGCCATAGATCCTCTAAGACAGCCTAATCGTGATTTGGAAGGTCAGTGGTGCAAGAAGCACGGCTTTGCAAACGAGCGGTATACATGCTGCAAGAGCTGTTTCTGCATACTTGTGGAAAAGCCGGAAAAAGTGAGGTTCTCGGCGTTAACTTTTGTTGACATTGTTCAGTCCATTGTACATGTCTCTAAAATAGACTTGCCAGAAATGAACATGGGTGTGTAGTTAAAGACCACAATTGCAACAGTTTTTTTTAAGTTTATGATTTTCGTCCACTTATACCTCTTCAAAACTCACATGAAATGAATCCACGGCATTTTTATGAATAATTCTCTGGAACTATGTATAAAATACGCTTTATCCTGTGGGTCACGTTTTCACTAAATCACTTTTATGAAACAACTTTTCCATCCCAAGACACTGTAGACTCCTGGTGCTTAGCTAACTTTCAGATGACTCCATTGATGGAATCTTCGCCTGGACACCCATATTTCCTTTCTGTTCTTCGAAACGAGTACCCTGAATCTCTCTCGTAGTGAATTGTTCATCCACTACATTCGCAATTTTTGAAGTAACAAATTAAAAGTAGGTGAAATGTTACCAACTTTCGTACACAGGTGTATATCAGCGAGTCATCATTCTGAGCATTTGGTTTGTTCTGCCATAAAGTTCATTTACCAGTGCGTAATGTATACAATTCAAGCACTGACTATTCTCATTTATTTCATCAGGCCAGTGTGGATCTGCTGCATCAGTGCCGTTGTGTTCGTCAGCCTTCTTGTCTATGCGCTGGATCGCTTTTCACCGTACAGTTTTCAAAACCAGGCTCTGAAAGACAATGGTGCATCAGAAGCTGGCACCATGTTCACTCTCAAAGAGTCCGTATGGTATGTGTTGGGGGCATGTACTCAACAAGGTTAGTCGGATAGTTTACGTTTCTGGCCAGGTGCTTGAACACTGTGGACCAAGAGCAAATCACCTTATTTCTCCATCCAGCGTTCGTTTCTTCTCTTTAGAAAGCCACTCGACTGTAAAGTGCCGGTGTTGTTGTCGGTGCTGATTTCAGGAGACAAGCACCTCACACCAAAGTTCTGCCGAATGAACGGTTGATGGAAGCACCGATCATCTGCCATAGATCCTCTAAGACAGCCTAATCGTGATTTGGAAGGTCAGTGGTGCAAGAAGCACGGCTTTGCAAACGAGCGGTATACATGCTGCAAGAGCTCTTAGAAAGCCATTCGACTGTAAAGTACCGGTGTTGTTGTCGGTGCTGATTAACATAATGGAATTTCAGGAGACAAGCAGATCACACAAAAGGTCTGTCGACTGAACGGCTGATGGAAGCACCGATCATCTACCATAGATCCTCTAAGACAGCCTACTGGTAATTTGAAAGGTCAGTGGTGCAAGACGAACGGCTTTCCAAACGAGCGGTATACATGCTGCAAGAGCTGTTTCTGCATACTTGTGGAAAAGCCGGAAAAAGTGAGGTTCTCGGCGTTAACTTTTGTTGACATTGTTCAGTCCATTGTACATGTCTCTAAAATAGACTTGCCAGAAATGAACATGGGTGTGTAGTTAAAGACCACAATTGCAACAGTTTTTTTAAGTTTATGATTTTCGTCCACTTATACCTCTTCAAAACTCACATGAAATGAATCCACGGCATTTTTATGAATAATTCTCTGGAACTATGTATAAAATACGCTTTATCCTGTGGGTCACGTTTTCACTAAATCACTTTTATGAAACAACTTTTCCATCCCAAGACACTGTAGACTCCTGGTGCTTAGCTAACTTTCAGATGACTCCATTGACAGAATCTTCGCCTGGACACCCATATTTCTTTTCTGTTCTTCAAAACGAGTACCCTGAATCTCTCTCGTAGTGAATTGTTCATCCACTACATTCGCAATTTTTGAAGTAACAAATTAAAAGTAGGTGAAATGTTACCAACTTTCGTACACAGGTGTATATCAGCGAGTCATCATTCTGAGCATTTGGTTTGTTCTGCCATAAAGTTCATTTACCAGTGCGTAATGTATACAATTCAAGCACTGACTATTCTCATTTATTTCATCAGGCCAGTGTGGATCTGCTGCATCAGTGCCGTTGTGTTCGTCAGCCTTCTTGTCTATGCGCTGGATCGCTTTTCACCGTACAGTTTTCAAAACCAGGCTCTGAAAGACAATGGTGCATCAGAAGCTGGCACCATGTTCACTCTCAAAGAGTCCGTATGGTATGTGTTGGGGGCATGTACTCAACAAGGTTAGTCGGATAGTTTACGTTTCAGCTCATCCACCCCCCAGTTCAAAAATTAGCCCCACACTTCTCAGCCCTCAGTTCAGATGAGAGTTCAAAACTATTTTACCCCAGTATCACTGCCCACCTCCTTCATCACCTCATTTTCGTGTTGCCATCAGTACTATTTGTCATTATGTTCAAAATCGGATGTACAGTCTTCCTAGACCCCCTCTCAATCCCACGTTATGTTCCAACTGCTTCCTCTTTTTTCGTAATGCTGATCAGTACGTGTCTCATTGAAGAAGTGCTCAAATGAGTTTGCAAGCGAAATATCTAGATATCTATTCTTAAAATTTCAAACACCACCGCATCTAGTCATCAGTTCAACCACTTGAATGAATTCACTGTACTTCTGGAAATAATAGATACATTGTGGTTTTTGATTTCTAGGTAATCACGTGTTGTCTGTAATAATTTGCATCTGTTTTTTTATATATATTGAATCAGTGGAATCACCGTACCAAGCCACCTGATTGGTGTATTTTCTAACCGTAAAGTGTTCTGCTTTCAGGAGAAAGTCTCGACCCACGCTCCACCTCGACTAGAATCCTAATCACCGGCCACTGGATTTTCGTTGTCATAATGGTGTCTATGTTCTCCGCCAATCTATCCGCCAAGCTCACCGTCTCGGGTTTGAAAGAGGAAATCAAATCATTGGAACAACTCGCCGGCCAGACAGAAGTGAAGGTGAATGAAGACATCCTATTCGCACATCGGAGTGTGTTTATATTCTTTGCAAGAGAATAGTAATATCGGGCCATATGAAAGAAGGCAAAACCTAGTCTGATCGTTTCTGTTTTATTGCATAATCGATTACCTGTGGTGAGAATGTGTGACTAGATAAGGCTATCAGCATGGTAAAAATGAAAACTCACAATCCGTCCCAAAGGGTCATTCTTATATGTCTGCGAAGGGGACCAAGCTCAAGTTAATGAAACCAAATAATCCACAATTGTGCAGAATTTGTTTGGCAGCGTGAGGAATGTGGCTGAGATACGTGTGAAAGCGTATAGGTGAAGTTCTCGTTCTGTGCATGATACCAAGTCGTTTCGAGGCATGTTCTCCAAACACATGCAGTGGTCGAAAAAGGTACACATGTAAGTGCTTGATTTTTTGTCAAAACCGCGGAACGCTGTCCTCTTGAACTCACCTTCAGTCGCTTTTCAAATTGCAAATTTTTTGGAGGTTCATCAATTTGAGTGGTCCAGGAGGAGCATCTGTAACTCGAATAAGTTCATAAGACATATTTGTTTCAAATGTTTCGATTAGTCGTAAAAGTCAGAAGCAATTCTAGAACTGAGTTCCAAATCATCAGAAACATATTGACCGACAATTTGCAAACATTTCCAAACTGTTGGCATGAATTCCAGTGTTTTACGAGGCTGATCCGTGACTAAGGATTCTTCGAGCCATGAGAGCTATCAGTTTACCATCTTGTCAGTGAGGTTGATGTTGGCAGCAAGATTTTGGTGGCCCAAGATTTTTTATCAAACGTGTTTACTTTAGAGGCCCCATAGATTTCCACTATGAGTAGTCCTAGGGTTGGAAAAATCGCTTCCAGGGAGTGTTAGCCTTGGAAGGTTCGCTTTTCAGATGCACTGCTCTAACCCGTTGTAGAACATGAGTATTTTGTTCCAGATGCTGGGCGTTCATCCACAAGTAAGAGTAGAAAACTCGCGGAAAGTCTAACCCGTTATATCGTTATACTCACTTGTCTTATTTCTCTTCTAAGGTATAATCCGTTTGCAACTAGCGTAACCTCAGAGTATCAGTTAGGAGGTTTTCCGTTGACCTGGTGAATGGATTTTACTTCAGTTCCTATGAATGCGATACTGTTCGAGACATGTGGACAGAAAGTTGGATGAGCTGAAACAGGGGTCAATTTTATGCTATCGTCAAAAGTTTATGAATATGCTCCGTTTCGAACACTTGTCGCGAATCTGTTCTGCGTCAGTCGCTGTCGTCCCCTCTTTCCTTGTCACGTTCCATAAAGAATTCCTCTTTTCATTGTTAGTACACCCTTCGAAGTAACTCGGCGGAATACGCTTTCTTCCGCAAAATGTATGGGGTCGAGGAATCTCTGTTCAGAATCTGGAGATATTTGTCTTCCAACTTGAGTAAGTTACTTAAACGAAATTAGTGAATACGTTCCCGTAGACTTTAAGCTTCCATCTCAACGCTATTCTATCAACCTTTCAAGCTGAATTCAGCTCCAACTACTCGGTGTGGCAATACCCCATCACTGAACGTTACGGTACAATCTTCAAACGAATGGAGGAATGGGGCTTTACCCACGATACTGTGGATTCACTGGACCATGTGCGGAAAGGTTGGGTTGTGTTCATGGAATCATCTTTGGCTGCCTATCACATTGCTTCTGCGTGCGACTTGAAGGAGCTTGGTGAACGAATTGGAAGCTGGGATTACGGGATTGCGTTGCCATTAAAGTCGTTTCTTACTCCCAATATGAACAGCATGTGAGTTGGAAACTAAAGTCGCATAACACTACTTCATTCAGTTCTAGATAAAGATAATGTTTGACTGAGAATTTCGCAAACGCCAATATGTAAAAAAATATACGAAACTTATCAGAGATTTGTGCCCCACCTAATATATACTTATATTATACTTATATACTTATACACTCATATTTCATGAGGTTGAGATATTCTATGGTCACTGCATCTATTCAACCCATTCCTCCCTCTCAAACTGCGAAAATGTGCAAACAAGAATAGGTATTCAACTACAGTTCAAGCACCTCGTATCCCAACCGGATCTGCTGCGAGTAGTACTGATACCATTAGACGCCCCTGCGATTGGTTTGCACTAAGCCGAGTGTAGCCCTGTACGCAAGCCATCATAAAAGAATCACTTGAGTCTCCCATGAAAACCAAACTGATTTACAAATGAGTGTATTTCTCGAGATCGGTTCAATTGGGGTTCAAGTAGAACACAATGTTTGACGGAAACTCGGGGACTGCCCCTACTTGATGAACCCCAAGAAGGGCGAAACCGGTCATGGGCTGTCGAAGCGTTTTCAGCGACCTTGTGAGTAGTTTCATTCATAAAAACCCCGGAACACTCCATGGGAAAAGCAGAGGAAAGCAAACCTACACACATATGTGCATTAGAGTTGTTGCTTTGACATTGTATAATTCGCCGCTGAAGCAATCCTGGTCTTATTTTAGCGAAACAAACAGGCAACAATAACTGGTTGGTGGGAAACTTAGTGGATGTAAAACGACAGATGTATTGTAACCGTTACGTTGCATCTTCATTAGTTTCGCGGCCTAAATGGGAGAAAAGCATAGGGCATCGTTTTGTTATCCGCAGGTTAAACGGTAGTAAACGATATTCCGGAATTATTATCCCAGTCGTTCAGTTCTGAGCCCAGTCGTTTTTGTCCGATGGAGGTTAACCGACATGGGCACCAAAATCAATAGCTGTTCCGCATTGCTCGCGCGCACTAACGTTCTTTTTCTAATCCACTTTTGCGGTAAGTACAAACATGCAATGTAATTTGGTCGTCTGGTATCAGAACCTACGTGACTTGAGTGCCGCTAACCACCGTGGTCACAGGATTCACGTGATACTGCTAGGATTATTGGGCACCTACTTTACGGGTCTCAATAGTTGCGGCGAACTTTTGATGGGACAGAATAGTTCATGCAAAACTGTGTGAGGAGATCTTCGAAAATGAATAACCTTGGACTGACTTGATGACAATGGATTGAGCCAGACTCATGAAGGTAGCGGTACTCAATTACGATATTTGGTCACATAACGCAGCTGACATGAGATAGATTGTTTTTTGGTCCTTGGAATCGTTGTGAGGACTTGAGTTTCACTATGTTAAGCACAGCGTGGCATTGAACACCTTCTATCGTATCACTTTACGTTTGTCCAGAAACTAATCCAGTACTTTGATCACTGTTGTGTAGGATACTCCATTTGAAAGCGGAGAATATTCTGGATGACTTGGAACATAAATGGTGGTCTGCCAACACCACAGGCTGCCCCGAACCAAGTACGAGCATCGGGTTCGGGCTGGAACAAGTGGGTGGTATGTTCATAATTTTGGCTTGCGGATTTCTCTCTGCGGCACTCATCCTGGGCATGGAATTATTGTTCTATCGTGTCATTATGAAGCGACTGCGGAAGGGAGTAAGTTGGAATGTCTGTTAGTGGTGTGCAAGTAGATTTTTACAACCACGTGTGCTTTATACCGGAAACTCACTCCATCGCCAGAGAGACAACTGAGAGCCTTAAAAGGAAAACAACCGGTCCCGTCGTCATTGAAACATGACTGCTGAACTTGAGTTTCATTTCGTAGACTCCACAAAATTTCTGGGGATTACTGCAACCATGACATCGTTAGACGTTTACTCTTTGGAGAGAGTAAATGGGACTAAGAACTGGTAAGATAAAACCCAAGGATATTTTTAAAAGATTCCTGTCTAGATTTAAAGGCAGCCATACTTGTAAGCAAGCTATATGAACTGAATAATGTCGTAAACATCAGGTATTCCGTGAGGATTCCTTCGAAGTTCCGGGGATCTTTGTAGAGTACAGAGTAATCACAATGCCCAAATAATTGCGGTAAAGCAAAATACCAATATTTGTGCACGTACTTAGTGATCGCATGAACCGTCATTCTGGATGGGCATCGTGAGCAACAGACCAAATCTATGATTGTGTTGAACTCGCTACAAAGGCACCGCGACGATTCGTCTATGTCTGTCTGCTGTCTTCGTTGTGACTTGAGTTTGACGGTTTGTTGTCTCTCCTAGCTAAACCACTGTATCTTCCGAAGTAGTCAGTCGGCTAATGAAACCTCTGCTACCCCTATTGGATTTCACAAAAACTTACTTCGTACTTAAAAATTGATCCATGCATATATACTGCCAAATATTCATTCGCAAATCAAGCTGAGGTTGACTGAGGTCAGCTGAAACCAACCCGAATCTCCTGCCTCTGATACTTTTAAGCTCTGTTTCCATCGATTTTATAAGCAGTTTTAAGAACGAAAAACGTTTCGAAAATTTTTCGCTGAAGCTGTTAGATGTTCTTTGGTCGAGAACTGTAGCTGAAGATCTTGGACGTGGGAGTTAGCTGAACGTCGGTTGAGTTTCTTATCAACATCCCGTGAAGCTTTAAATGAGCGTCATCCAAGTCATGTCAATACTCTGCTCAAAAAGTATTTTTTACAAAGAATTACCTTCATACTCTTGCTGTTTCTTCCGACTGACTGGTCGAACCTTTCCGATGCCCCGTTTTTCACCTCATTGTCACGACTGAAAATCTTACGATACCTATTGTGAATAAATTTGAGTCCTGAACATACTTTTGATACATGAAGCCCAAGCGGTGCCCCGATGCTAAAACGTTCGAATTGTTAATGATTACCGCCGTTTATGTGGTCATACGTCAACATTTCAGTGACATGATAGTTGTATAAGGTCAATGTAATGATGGTGTTCCAATGGCTCCCTCTTGGGTCCCTTGGTCCATAATTTTTATTTACACCATTTTTAAGTGATCATGGGCACACTAGAGCACCTATGCTTTACCTTGACTAATCAGTAAACAACTAAGGTCACCTCGGGAGTTATCAAGAAGAAACGGACTTCGGTGTTCATGAGGTAAGGTCTGACCTCCTTATAACACCTACGTTTTGCCTTTCTGTGGATACTGACTTTCTATTAGTTAATATCTTTATTTTTTATTTTAGAACAAAACTGCCCCAATGGAAGAAGAGAAGCCAGCAGACAAGATGAATGCACGCGGAGAACAAGGTGGTCTCCCACCGCCCGCTCTTGTGGTGACACCGCCAGACTGTGTCAACGTCAACGATGACTCAGGCGCACCACCGCCGTATGCGCAAAATCCATGATTGGTCCGCAGATGCACAAGTTCATCATCATCGTCAACATCAACATCATTTATTGCGCTTGTAAACGATGATAAAGGCAACAATTTCTTTTATGCATTTACTGACAGATCGTTTAGTTCAGTGTCAGTCTTCGGGATTCCTGCAGTGTTCTTGTCATCCACTACCTTTCTCATTAAAAAAAGGTTGCCTTTATTACATGTAGGCAGATTTGGGGAAAGAAACGGAGTTAATCACCAGCCATTTTTCTCACTTGTTTATCCCAGATCATATCTTTTGTTCTTCGGATACAACGTTTCAAAACCGTTGAAATTTTTACGTACTAAAACTGACCTTTTACATCGTGTCAAGTCCGCTGAATTTTTCTGAGTAACTATGGAGTTATTTCACTTCACATACCACGAAACCCCTCCAATAGTTCACATGCATTCATACTCAGTGATGCCCACACCATTTTGAACCTAGACTAGCAGAAAATCAAATTATGCTTGTGTGTGTGTGTTTTATCTGCATACTCTTGTGAAGTTTCGAGAACTCACTACATCACTGCAAACACAAAAAGCGTCCTTATAGAGCGATCCTCCTTTTAGCTGATTCCCGCCAACGGAAAGCAATCCTTCGTTTAAGAATGACCAAGAAGAGCCGTGTGCTACGTAACCGACGCATCCAAGGTTAAACGACTTTTGTAAAAGTACGTCGTATTCTTTTACTTAGTGCTAACTAAATCCCTCAGATATTCCTTATATCGTGACAGCCTGGGGCTCTATAACGATCGTCACTCTTGGCGATCTAAGCACCAAAAGTGTTTTCATCCTCCTAGAACCGAAAGAAAACTGTCAAATTAGGCGGTTAATCACAGCGGTATTTCTTTTATCTGCCTACCCAAACTTGATTAGTCGTTTTCACCGAGTCAGATTAAGTCATAATGTATTTTGTTTGTTGATTGGGTAGTTGGTAGTTGATCTCGTCGTCAAGCTTGGCAACTGGTTTGCGAACGTACCTTCCCCGTTTGGGGAGAGATCGTCAGTGCGCAGTTAAAATGGGTACTTGCCTAGCTGCGTTTGTGTAGTTTTTCAAGATTATCTAATATCCTGACACGTGATTGGATAATTGGTATATACCTTTCTCCAAGCTTTTTTGGCCCGATCGTGGTTTGCACTGCGTTGTGGTCCGTATGCCTCACGTTCCATCGATTGGATTGCTCCTTTGGGGTATTTCAGGCCCGATTTCGATTGATTCGTTCCCGGTTTGTGTCGTAGTCTTTCTACCTTGAATCAGGTTGGTTGTGATGGTGGTTTCTATTTCTGGTAGTTTCCTTCCTTCAGCCTGAATCAGCCTGATTGTTTGTTTGTTTTGTTTGTCCCCCTCTGGTCCTGTGATTTCGTAATTCTTTTACTCGCAGTGGTCGATAGACTGGATCGATTTTGATGTTTGTTGACGGCTATTTCAGTAAAGTGCCATGCTTCCATGAAATCAAGTTCCTTCTTTGTTCTCGTTGGAGCCAAAATGGGATCAGTGCTCCAGTGGAATTTGTGTCCTTCTTGATCTTCGCGCACGGAGACGGGTGAAAATTGGTCGTGCCTTTTGGTTGCAACTTTGTGTTCATATATTCTGGTAGAAAGTTTCCTTCCTGTTTGTCCCACATAGTGTCCCTCATGATCTCCGCACCAAATCTTGTACATGATGTCGTGTCCCTTAAGATCTCCGCACCAAATCTTGTACATGATGTTGGTCCTCAACATTGCGTCTCTTTGGGTTTGATAGTGCTCTCTGTAGGGATTTTGCAGTTTTGTGGGACATTGTTTTGTTGTAGTGTGGTAGCTAACGTGCGGTCATTCCCGAAATACTCCTGATGAATGGACGCATGATCCATTTTCCTTCACATTGTGCTGTTAGGTTGGTCCGATTGAGTTTTCTGATAGTCCGGGAGATTAAATTGCTGGAGTATCCGTTTCTCTGAAAAGCTTTGTACAAGTGCTTTCTTTCTTTGACTTTTGACTCTGTAGTTCTGCAGTGCGTCTCAACACACTTGAAGAGTCAAGAAGTTTTCACTGACGTCAGAGATAGTGTATCAATCATGCAATACGAAACACCGCGATTTTACCGCTCACTTTTGGGAAGCGACTATGCTAGCAATGCAATCAGGGGGCATCTCTTAGTCGGCCCTCTCGACTGTTGGCTCAGAGGAGAACAGGGTTCTGTGCATCGATGGAGGTGCTTCATCATGGGAACCGGGTTAATAGATCATTCCTGAGAAATAGGAAACTATCGAGACGCACACCACATTGCGCCTATGTTTGTGAACATACTATGAAATAATTGTACCCTTCACTTACTGGGAAACCGATTTTGAATTAAACTAGCACACTACTGATCGGTTAGACAGAGTAACACACAATCTTTCGAGTTCCATCGTTCGTAAAACGCAGGCTTGGTCTTGGAAGTATCACACTTGCATTTCCCTTTATTCCTCATTTTTCAGCCATTATGATTAAGATCTTGAGCAGTACACCTCACAGTATTTTTATCGAACTGGCTTACTTGGATACCTAAAACCTCATTTGTCTATGATAGATCATTAAACGGCAGATGTGGTAACCGTACTGTCACACTAATGTGAATAGCTGAAGCTACGTAGTGATCTCTCGATATATGTAGAAATTATTGATCGGCTAGACAGAGTAACACACAATCTTCCGAGATCCATCGTTCGTAAAACGGAGGCTTGGTTTTGGAAGTATCACACTTGCATTTCCCCTTATTTCTCATTTTTCAACCATTATGATTCAGCTCCTGAGCAGTACATCTCACATTATTTTTGTCCAACTGGCTTACTTGGATACCTAAAACCTCATTTGTCAATGATAGATCATTAAACGGCAGATGTGGTAACCGTACTGTCACACTAATGTGAATAGCTGAAGCTACGTAGTGATCTCTCGATATATGTAGAAATACTTTGATGGTTTTTTGCGCCAAGTGTCATCGATACTCAGGCGTTGATTAACCTTTCTAAATGGACTGGAACGTGCCTATGTTGTCCATTCTCCCCCAAGCCGTCAGAAAAAATGGGTACATGTTTTCGCCAATCCAGAACTCATTGCTGTATTTTGAGCTTTCATTCCATTTCGTGGAATTGACTCACAGTCTGTAAGCACCACCAGCCTTGGGGGTCCACAGCCACTGATTGTCATCCCGCTATCTGTGAAGATAAACCAGGCTGTCAGGTTCACACAACATTTTTCGTATGCGTATTTCAGCAGCCAGTTTGTCTGACGACTGAAGTCAGGAGGTTGATGGTGCCAAATCTGTTCATCTGGAGGTCTTGTGCACTGGCTCACGACGAAACACGTTTACCCTAACTTTTCCTCGTTTTTGTACTACCCACCGATTAGTTATCTTGAAGACGTGTTCCTAAATGAAACAGGTGGCGAATAAGAACCGATTCCCAAGATTTACACAATCGGCTCAAACTACGTTTAGTTTATGATGGCATTCGGAGACATCAACCATCCAACACCCACACTAAAACACGAGTGGAAAAAGATTATTACTAGCAGTACGATATGTGTATTATTAAGGTATACACTCATCTGCAAACTAATTTGGTTTTTCGAGAGACTCACCTGGATCGCAGCTGAATCTCTCGGCTTTGATGTTTCCAGGAAACTGAATGTTCTGCACCAGGCCGCCTCATGTTTCAGTCGCTACGATACGATATTCGTTACGAGACATGTATATTTTATAATGCATTACTCATAAGATTGTTGAAAACTCCTCGACGGCCTACGACCGGCTTCACTTTTCTTGGGACTCACCAGGTAGGCGCAGTCCCCAAGTTTCCGTCAACCTTATGTTTTACTTGAAACCAAATTGCAAATGAGTGTATATTCACTAATTTCGTGCAATTCGATTTCAAGTAGAACATAAGATTGACTGAAACTCGGAGACCGCGCCTACCCGATGAGCCCCAAGAAGGGCAAAACCGGTCGTGGGCCGTCGAGCAGATTTCAGCAGCCTTATGAGTAGTGTATTACAGAGGAGGCCATTATGTTTCATGTCCAGATACCATATTTGAGGAATTCTAGCTGGTCACAGTGGTTTCATCACACCCACGACTTTGTCAACAATCAAACCATTTTTTGAAAACAAGCTTCTATTGTGCAGCATTCTGCCTGTTCCATATGGCCCGGTATTGGTCACCGACTCAACAGACCTCTCTAGTCTCTTTTTAATCACACTTATGAGCAATCTTTGGGAAAACACGTGCTAACCAATTGAACGCCGTATCTCTGTTCACAGGCAATTGTAAACGAACAGGAAAAGCAGTTCCACAAGTTCCATAATAAACTGCACCTTCCGTTAGACGCGGGGTGGGTTTTCAGAAGACCCCGGTCTTCTCGCATGCCTCATCGGTAATAGCCGCCGTCACACACCTTCCCCTTTCTAAGGTCGCGTGCGTGCCACCAAATCCCATCTTCATTCTTTTGGTTGGCCCCCAGAAGCTGGTCATTTCGGCAGCTCTTTTGGTGCCTTATGCTACTTCCGAAGCTGAGTACCGTTTACTCTTTTTACCTTCAAACTCCGTGAATCGTGAAGAAGTCCACCCGGCGACTGGAAACGACAAATGGATCTTGACACCAACTGTTCAGCTCCCGCAACCCGGTTCCACTCTTTCTTGGATTCTATTGATCCTTGCAGCTGACCTTCGCGCCTATGTGGAATAGTCGTATATTAATATTTGCCGTTTTCTGTCTAGTCCTCTCCTCAACAGCGGTCAAGTTTTCCCAATCTCTCCTCCGTTCCTGTCCTACCTCCTCCGGGGACATGCGCGATGTCGGCCACATCCTAACTTCCCGAGCACGTGAAAGGTGCGAATGTCAGCCGTACATTAGCTTGAACAGGGATTTACCAATTAAGTGTGGCCAAAGCACCGTTGGCACATTTAGAATGCCAGTAGGAATTTCTTGCAACTCAGCGCTCATACCTTAGACAAAAGGATG